AATTTCATCCACTAATAAAACACCTTTTTTTCGTTTTGTGTTTTATTTAAGAATTTTTTTTTTAATAAGCTGAAAAATGTACTGTCGAAGCCACATTCACTTTTAATTGCTAATAAATGTTTTCTAATAGTTGTAACACAAGGCAGAGGTAATAAGCCTTGGTCACGTAGGAACTTATATCCCGATGGAGATCTATAAAATTGGAATAATTTTTAATTAATAAAAATTTAAACACAAACATATATATAATATGAACACTACAATAAAAACACATATATATAAACCTTATTTGAAATAGAAGACAAAGAATCACCCAATTGTCACAGTAATGTCTACTTTTTGGATTTTTAAATTTAGCAGCAGCAAATATTTCGTGTATTAAAATTGATTGACATTTTGAAATTCCTGAGTCTTCGATTAATTTTGTTAAGGTGCTATTTGAGACTTCCTTCATTTGATTTTTTATTGATATTAAATGTGATTTTAATTGAGAATTTTTATTTATTATCCTGGATACCTGAAGTCTTACTTTATTTGTTATATGTCTGAATTTATTTAAATGATGTCTTTTACTAGGGGAGAAATATACTCTGACTTGTTTACCCTTTGAAATTGAATAAGACTTTTTTCTGATTGAGTATAGTAACCTCATACACCATAAACAGCTAGGTCTTCATAGTTAAAAAGTAAAAACATTAATTAATCAATTAGTTACTTTCACAAAATGTATAGGTAAACATTATTTATTCTGAAGAATACAGTTTCAGATAACATCTTATTTTATCTGAAAATGTATTATTTATTAAACCTAATAAGAAGATTTAATACCTGTTGTCCCTTATCAAACTAGAACAGTTCAAGTGTTTCCAATAGCCATTAACCTTTACACATTGAGAACAGATTGATGCTTTTACATTAGGAAATTTACTTGTTAAAACAGCACCATAACATATTTTTAACATATCAAGATTTTCGATCGCACATTCTATATCTTGTACAGATATTACTGAATGACATAACATTGGAAAATACTGTTGTTGTTGTTCCTCATTAATTTTTTTATTCATTACATGAACTATAATCTTATAATCTGTTTAAAATTATAATAAAATATAGCCAGATGACAGATAATAGTTGACAAAGTATAATATGAACTAATTATTAATTTATATCTTAAGATTTAAATTCTTTTAAGAAGACTTAATGTAAAAATGTGATAAGCTTAGTCATCACATTAATTTATAAAATTGTTACCTGGGTACGCCAGGACAGCTGACGTAGTAAAATTCCCGAAGGACCACTCGATGATTTATCGAGACCAAAAAAAAAGGTGATTTGTAAATTATGTTTGTTTATGTCGCCTTTTATAAATTGGGTAGGCAACTTAACATGCACGACGACAACGATGATGTTTGATTAGGAAAGGGACGTGATGGTGTTGAGGGAAACAAGATGATAGAATTTAGTTATGGGGGGGGGGTCTCCGTAGTCGGTTAGGACATGTGCAATTACCACGGAGCTCACATGAGTCGGCTAACCTTAATAACTAAACTTAAAACTATTGAAGTCTTGTTGACCCGGATAGCCTGCCCACAGTGGAGACACCTGTTGGATGTGGATTCCGACGACCTGGGCGGCCTCTCACACACTACGGCGAGTGCTGGCGGACTTACGCGGGAGTAGATAGTACTTGGTGACGGTGAGGCGCACAGTGTGCGTACAAGCCGGAGGATCAGGTGACCCATGGATGGCAATAGCATAGTTAAATATAAAGAATAACTCACGGTGTGATTGATAATAATATGTGGCAGTTTATTTGAACAATAATAAAAGCAGTGACGGCTTCCAGCAGCGTCGCACGTAACACCGCAGTAACAATACAAGTTGGGTTGATCACAATGACCAGACAGTCCGTTTGAACAGATCGAAGATTTACAAGAATAATAGATTGGTGTGTACCAAAATACGGACACAATATAATATATATATTTGGTGCTTGGTGTGTACCAATAAATACGTACACCCGAACACCCGACAAGATTGTAAAAAAACACTATATGACAAAACAAACGCTGCAATAGCGGAATAATAAAAGTTTTACGATGACAGAAAAAAAAACAATAATAATAATTAACACTGTTGTGACTATAAGGGCGTTGGCCGCAATAATAATGATAATAGGAAAACAACACAAAAACGATTTAGATATAATACAAATAAAAACAAAGACAATAAATAAGGTGATTCTAATAATCAATAATAATAACAACACAAGGAATAAAAGATAGGAACAAGAGATGAGTGGAAGGTGGGAACGACCGATAAGCCAATCGTGCCGTCGCGCTCATTAGCATATCACTGTTTGTAATATTCAGCGCCAACATTACCTTTAGTTACTATCAGTTGTTTTGAAATGATACGTCCGTAATCCTGATCGAATTCAGTTAATTTGAAAAATGACTTTGTTAATTTCTTTTCAAAACTATTTCGAAACATCAGTATACCATTTCGCAGGTAATTTAATAGCCACATGCTTATTTATTAAATCAAATAAAGATTCCTGAATCATATTATGCTACAAAAGTATTTAATTATAAGTTTAATGATATATAATAGAATTTTCTATAATATTATTCATACATGTTGTGATTCACAGATATAATTCGTTGAAGACATTTCAGTACATTCTGCGACTTCATTATAAACAGCGGTTGGTTCCTACAAAATATTTTTAATTGTAAAAGATAATAAGTAAACTTGTTAATTCAATTTAAAACCATATTTTAGAAATGCTCACAATTGAAACATCTTGGTCAGTATATACAACATTTAGTAAAGATGTGTGTAATAACAATTGTTCAGCTTCGTTTTTACATATATTCACGTCTTCCTGATGATGAAAATAAGATTAATATTGGTGCATGATATGTTTTATTTTACTTTTCATACTGTATAATATATAACTATAGGTACTTACACATAATGTATTTTTATCTGAATTATCATTGCCTAAAAATAAGGTTGGTATGGCTCCTTCTCTTAATCGAGGTTTTTTTAAACATATCTAAGGTGAAATAAATGTTGGTGTTGAGTAAAAAAGAAAGAAGTTTGATGAAAAAAATATCAATCAATATTATAAAATATACTTACTGAATAAGCACTTGTTCCTTGTCCAGACAACCAAGTATCTATTATATTTTCTTTCGAAAAATGATCTCCACATACTCTCTATCTTTTACCCAAAGTTATTCCTACTGCTTTTTCCCATTTTTCATGGGCATTTTTTGGTATTGAAAACCGTGATTTACTAATATCAGAACAGTTTCTTTCACAACATTTGTCTATCCGGGACATGGTGATTTAAACAATCAAAAATTCAGTTGGTGTGTAAATTGTAACTTAACATTTAGAATAATAGATTAATAATATTTGATATAGGGCCGGTTTCACCATGTAGGAGTTAAAGCACAGATTAATTAACTCCGAGTTACCCGGTAACCCAGAGTAACCATATTCTCGGTTTCACCACGGGTTTATGTGTGAGAGTTAGTTAACCTCAAGTTAGCTTACGATTGGCCATTAAATTGGCCTGTTCTGGTGGCCTGTTAATGATAACATTTATTTTTCACTGATAACATTGATAATAAGCCCGAAAAAGTTGTTAAATTACTGTTCGTTTTTAAAAGTCATTGTGTATTTGTGTTTTGTACTTTTTAAATTGGTTCACGGATATTTTGGCATAAAAACATGAACTCAAAACCAGTGAAGAGGTCGAGGAACGTTAATTTCAATAGTAGAGAAGAAGAACTGCTAGTGGAATTAGTGACCACCCACAAGCATGTTCTTGAGAATAAGAAAACCGACGCAGTAATATGGAAGGAGAAGGAAGCGTGTTGGACAAAACTAGCCTCGGAATTTAATAGTCAATCACTATTAGTTCCACGCACCGTCCAACAACTTCAATTGAAGTACAAAAATTTAAAAAAAGTTGTTAGGAAAAAAAGTGCATCAATAAGGTAAGTGTGATCGTGATTTCATTCGTGAGGATTCCAATGTCTAATTCATATTTTCTTTCCTTATATTTAAGATTTGAACATCTAAAAACAGGTGGTGGAAAAAACCTTTCCCAAGCCCTTAATTTTAGGGAAGAGAAACTGAAAAGCATAATTCAATTATCTATAGATGGTCTCCAATAGGAATTCGACGATGATACTGAAGCCATCAGTACTGATAATTTAGTTAACGGAAGGCTCAAATTATTTTATATTACAAAATAGTTGCTGGACAGCTTATCAAAATGTTGTATATCTTCTTATACTTTTTGTCTTATGTTTCTATACTGACAATACCTATTCACCATTCAGACAATGAATTAATGGACAATGGTGGGTACTATGAAGACAAGGACAACGAAACATACTATGTGACTGGTAAGACCATATAATTACATTTAATTAATTAGTTTTCTAAAAAATACTTTTATATTCTGATAGTGTTATGTTTTAAAGATGTTTAGCTAAATAGTTTTGATTAAAAATATCTTATTTGCTGCAGAATAAATTATATTAACATTAATGCATATACATATTACCTACGTAATATAAAATTATAAACATATATTAACATTTTTGCAAATTATAATTTAAATAATTTAACTTAACAGTAATACATGAAACTGAGGACTCCATACAAACAACATCAACCAATAAACAAAGTAAGTTTCCAAACTTTGCATATTGTGTGCAGGTATTGCCTGATACCTTTTCAAGCTTTTTTCTCATATTATATTTTGATTATAACCTACCAACCTCATTCATGATAATAATATCAAATTGTATATTTAATTAACATAACAAAACAAACATTATATTTAAAACAATATTTTATTGATACAAATAATACATGAATAGTTTATTTGATTTTCAATCAAAAATATTTAATTTTTAAATAGGTACAATAATTATGTTAAACATAATTTAAATATTTAAATATCTATTATTATCAAAGTCTTATTTTTAATTACAATTTTAATTTAAATAACAAGTTAACTATTAATGTTGTCATAAATATTATGCTTTTGTTTTTCCAGAACCATTCAGGAAAGAAAACATAGATATAGATGTCCCCATTAACTATGAAACTTCTGAGGCAGAAAGAAGCTGTACTGACTTTGGTATGTTAATGTAAACTTGCCTACAACAAAATGCACAACAAAATAATATATCTATGCTAATAATACTAATAATAGCCTTTCTTTAAAATTTTATATTTTTACAATAATACAAATAAATATATTAGGTACAAAGAATCTTTTTAATTTGATATAATTTTCTCAGGTGCAAGTGTCAGCCAATGGGATGTGGTAACTCCTCAACACATAAAACATGTAAAAAGTACTCCCCTCAGAAAAAATAGTGAGTTTTGCATGTTTGAATTTATTCTATTCAGCATTTGTATAATATATACTTATTATATTTTAGAAAAACTTTACAAAAGCCAATCTGCCGAGGCAACAAACCTCTTACAGAAAAAGGACAAATTAGTAGATTTACAGATAAAAACGTTGGAACAGGAAATAGGAATAAACGATGTTAGAAAAAGAAATGCTATATTAAAAGAAGAAAAAATGAAATTAGAAATACAACTTCTAAAAACCAAAATAAATAGTACAAAACATTAAGTTATTTTTTTTAGCTAGAACTTAGAAAATGTGTGGCTACATAAATTATGTATATATTTAAAAGGTAAAAGTTATTATTTTTTTTTTTGTTTTTTGTTACTACATAAATTATGTATATAGGTATACGCACCATAAAAATTGTATTAATTATGTTATTACTTCTCAAAAGGTAAAAGTTATTATT